GCCAAGGTCATTTGTAGAGCCCTTGAATGCTGAGTCTGAAGCTGGACCTTCCCAGGGTCTGAGATTCCTGGGTCGGGGCCTGTCAGATCCAAGGCACTGATTGAGCTCATGCTGTTTGCGAGGTTCCCAGTGCCCACCTCCTTCACCCCCATGGCCTTAGGCTCAGGTGGTGCCTCCGAGTACCTTCTGTTCTCCTGGCAGCAGGCTTGGTTGGCCTGGCTGGGCTGCAGTGGGCCGGACGCTGCCCCATTGGTGGCCCGGGCTCCAGGGAAGAGGTCTGAATGGAACTTCCAGCTCCCTCCAACCCTGGCAGGATGACGAGTGGTTCCCTGCATCCACTTTGCACCTTGAACAGCCGTCAGGAATCCAGGCTTCCTGTCGCTCCCAGAGATTGGACGTGGCAGCGGATCCTGGAGGCAGAGCAGTTTATTAGGCAGTGAAATTAGATTCCAGGCTGCGGCACCGGCTGCAGTACTGAAGGACGAGGCAGCGGGAGGTTCCCCGGGGACCTCACACACTGGCTCCCCGTCCCCCGGCCTCTCTTGGCTCCTGGGTCACCCAGCCCCCAGGGAGGCACAGTCTTATCAGAATGGACGTTATTCTGGGGACCCCGCCAGTGGAAGGGGAGCTTAGGCTTGGCCCCCACAGCCACAATGAACAGCTTCACAGCCTCTGTGCTCCCTCTGTGCTCTCATCTGTAAAATGGATGCACACCTTCCCTGTCTGTTGGTTGTTGAGTGCCTGGCGTGTAGCAGACATGCTGTGGATTCCAGCCTGGGGGTGGGGCTCGATGTCAGTGACCCCTGCCCACTCTCCTCTCCCAGCTCTGGGGACCTGGGGGCGAGCAAATGGGTGATAGCAACACGACTATTTTTCCTCCCAGCCCTGCCACCTGCTTATGAGAGGTTTATCTCATTAAGGGCTTCCCAGGTGGCTCTTGTGGTAAAGAATCTGCCTGCCAGTGCTGGAGACATAAGAGACGTGGGTTCGATCCCTGGGTCAGGCAGATCCCCTGGAGGAGGGCATGGCAACCCACTCCGGTATTCTTGCCTGGAGGATCCCATGGACAGAGGAGCCTGGCGAGCTGTAGTCTATGGGGTCACACAGGGTCAGACATGACTGAGCACGTACGCATATCTCATTAAATATGTAGAATGGGACAAGTAATCCCAGCTACCTTTTGACTCAGTCTTTGGAGAGGGGGGAGTCTGGGTTGCGGGAACAACCTTGGGGGGCCGTCCCTGCCTGCACCGCGGCCCCCACCCTGGTGCCCTCCCAACAGTGACATGGGATGAGGTGGCAGAGGCTTAGTCATGTTTTTCCAGAAGAGAAATATTCCCTTAAGTCAGATGGGGGGAGGAGGCGGGAGGGAAGAGCCGGAGGCAGTGGGTTCTCCCTCCGGAAGTGGGGGCTGTCCCTCCCCAGAGCGCAGGGGCAGGCAGACCACACACACGTGCACTCAGGGCCTGCGGGCACAGCTGTGGGCTTCCTGCCTCAATGGGTGTTGTCAGCCTTGGCTGGGGGGTTCCTATGGCTGATGCCCAAGCCTCCAGCATCCTCAGTCCCTCCTGTCCTCTCCTTCCTGCCCCTCCTCTCCATCATCAGAACCCTGCACTCAGGACCTATTTCAAAAGAGGGGTCCATCTCTGCCCAGAGCTCAGGCCATGGAAGTCCCTCCTGCCATCTGGCTGAGGTCTCTCCTGCTGCTTCGGATTCTGCAGGGCTGGGGCCAACCCACCCCCCACCCCCCACCCCCTGCCGCGGCTGCTGGTAAACTGGGTGCTCTGGGTGGTGCAGGCCCGGCAGCGCATCTAGGCTGTGGTGGTTCTGGCTGATGCTCACTCTCCAGGTGGCCCACCTCCCCCCTGCCTAGGTGAGCAAGGTCCGCTGTGCTTGCCTGCCCCGCCCCCCTGCCTGACCCCCATCACAGCCCCTGAAGTCTGAGGCTGGGGACCAAGTGCTCGAGATGCTTGTCTCCATGGCAACTGCTGCCAGGGAAGCATCCTGACATTGAATTCATTATCATAATTAGCCACCACGTACTGCCTTTGTGGACACCTCCTGCCACTGCTCCTTTCTTTCCCTGCAGCCTGGACAGTTCCTGGGCTGGAGGGCATGAGGACTACCCTCCCCCAGGGCCTGGGGCCTTGGTCAGGTGGCAGGGAGAGGTGCAGGATGATGCTGGGTGTTAAGATGAACCTTGCAGCAGAGAGGCTGGTCTCCCAGCGTGTAGGGGGTGGGGTGGACCTGCTCACTGGTCTGTCTGGGAGGAAGCAGCCTCTGGGGCCTGGAGGGTCAGTACCCAGCACACAGCTGGCCTCCCAGGGCCCCAGCATTGTTGGCGGTGTCTGCCCTGCACCTCTGCAACTCCTCTTCTGAGGAGGAGCGGGGCAGAGGGAGTTCTTCTGAGACACAGCTGCCAGCTCTGAGGAGTCTTCTGGAGGCCAGAACCCAGGTCACTAAGGCAAGAGAGACCCTGCCTGGCTCAGATTCCCCAGCATCTCCAGGATGCCCCAGTGCCCAGGGCCCCAGCATAACTGCAGTGGGTACCTTGCAATGGCCACAGGGCTAGGGGTGGTCACCCGTGTTGTCCTGTGGGAGAGCGGCACCCATGTCTGAGCTAGCCCCCCACCCCTAACAGCTCCAGTGGAGGGCCAGGCCCCACTGAAATGCCGCTTATCACCAAGGATGCAGTGTCTCAAACCAGGAGGCCAGAGGCAGAGCCCCCTCCTGGGCTTGTGAGGCCTCTGCCTCCCTGTCTCTAGATGGGCATGGGCGTTGGAAGTCTTGGGGGCCAGGCTGCGACTGGATGCTGGGTGGGGATGGCCATCAGTCACTGAGGTGCCCGCAGACGGGAGGGCTCTGGAGTAAGTGACTTCCATCAGCCAACTGCCTGTGAGTGGCCAAGGGCTGCGGGGGCATCATTGCGCTTTGGAGGTGTTCATCTAGATCTGTGGGGGCCCCACCTGGACCTGGCAGCACAGTGTAAGGGGTGCTCGCTCCCTGGGGGAGTCTGCCGCCCTCCTCTGCTTCCTCCTTGTTGAGTGGGCGTGCCAGCCTTTTTCCAAGTGTTCGTCCCACTGACTCCTCTGCATCCCCTGGCGGTGCCATCTGTGGCCATCTGTCCCAAAACATCAGAAACAAAACTGGGAGTGTGGCCGGCACTTCCCGGGGGCGGGGGGAGGAAGGCTGTGAGGTCCCCACCTTGGGTTGCAGGTTTGCCTCCTGAGCTGCTGATGGAGCTCCTGACAGCTTGCCCTCTGTCTGCTGGGAAGAGTGGGACATTCTGGAATGCTCTGAGATGCTGGCAGAGCCACCTCGAGGAAGCCAGGCTGAGAGGGCCTGGTCACCCAGAGTCCTGGCCTTTCCTTTGTTCTCTAGAGGAGTGTTCTTATGCAGTACAAGGAGCTGGCGTTCGTGCTTGCGGCCCTGGGCCCTGCCTGCCCGACAGACGAGGATGGCATCAGGCACCCCGGGGACCCTGATCTCCAGTCTGGTCAGACTCGCTCTCTGCCGGGTCCTGGACTCACTGTCCACCCCTTACCCTCTCCAGGGCCACCCCACTTACTCTTCCCACTGTCAGGAACAGCTTCCCTTCTCTGTTGGCCCCACCGGCTCTTCACCCTGCAGTGTGGTGGACACCTCCTCAGGGAAGCCCACTGGGTTGTATGTCCCCCCCCAGCTCCCGAGTCCCGGTACTGAGCTGAGCTGGGTCCCGGTACCCCTTCTGAGGTGGGCGACCCTCTCAGTCTCTCTCACCACCCAGGCCTGGGCATCCTGACCCACTGCCCTGGGATCTCCTCCAACCCTGGCAGACCCTCTCTGGTCATGTGGGCTCCTTCTCACCAACAGAGTTGAGGGGAGGATACTGCCGGCAAAGATTTATGAATATAAGGCACGTGAGACATCTGGACATTTTTGTCCCTGGGCTCAGCTAATTGAATAAATTGGCTAATGAGCAAAGGAAATTAATTGCGGTTTTGAAATGTGACCGTTTCCCCACGTGCCTTTTGTCTGTGCCAGCAGCCTTCAGATAGAGCCGGAGGTGATGATGGAGCCAGGGACATGGGTGGAGCCAGGGAAGATGATGGCGCTATCTTCAGGGGGCCATGCTCCAAGGAGGGGCTGGGTCGGCCCTGTGAGGGGGGTGGCCTGTGCCTCCCTGGACCTTGTTGCCAGGCCTCTTCCAGGCACGTGGGCAGGACCACTGGAGGTGCCCCTGCATCTGGCTGAGGCTCAGTAGGCCTTGGCGCTGAGCACCCCCTCGGTGATTCTGGCCAGACTGGGCAGGTCGGGCCCAGTCTGTCGCCATGGCCAGGCTGAGTTTGGACCATGTGGCGTTGGCTCTGAGGGTCTCATTTCCAGTCCACCTCTGCCACCAAGGAAGCCAGTGGTCTCGGCGCCCAGGGAAGGTGGAGCTAGGTGCCTGGGGTTTCCCAGGTGGTGATAAAGTGGGAGGGCACCTCAGGAGCCCTGGACCCCTGTCAGCAGCCCTCAGGGGCCCTGCTCCCTGGGATCCCAGCCCCACCCTGTCCCCTTTGGCTGGACGCTTGCTGCCCAGTGGTTCCTGGTTCTGGAAATTGACCAGTTCTCTGTGCCCCCTCCCAACACGGCCTGCAGGCGTGTTCTGGTGGTCAAGGATGCTGGACGGCATGGGTGAAGCCGGTGTGAACTAGGGGACAGGAAGTGTTTGCCTGTGAGCCTGGCAAGGACAGCTGTGGACAGGGATGGGGGACCATGCCTGGGGTGCCTTGCTTGGGGGTGGGCAGTGGCATTTGCTCAGTTCTCATTTGCCCAGTGACCCAGGAGGCTGTGCCCCTTGTTTGTTTTAGGAGCTTTGGGAGCAGACAGACAAGGGACACGTGGTGGGTGTCCTAGAGAGCAGATGAGGCTGGTCATTGCCAAGGAGCCCTGGGGGGCGGGTGTCCCCTGCTCTGCCCTGTCCCTCTCTGTGCCACTGGGCACCCGGCCTGGCTGACCGTCCTCTGCTCTGTCCCCAGGTTCCTGCTGGTCTTCTCCTGTCTCGTGCTGTCCGTGTTCTCCACCATCAAGGAGTACGAGAAGAGCTCTGAGGGCGCGCTCTACATCCTGGTGGGTCCCGCAGGATGGCGCGGAGAGCCTGATGGCACTCGAGGCCGCAGGTGGCAGCCTGCCCGTGATCCCGTTGATCTGACCCTCCAGGTCCCCCACTGGCAGGGACCCCCACCCTTCTGGCACCCACTGTTCTTCTTGGTAGCCCTTTGGTTCCTCCCAGTCTCCCCTCCTGACGTTGGTGATATTGCAACTTCCTCAGCCTCCACCGGCCCCTCCCCACAACACCCCAGCACCCTCTTCCTGGCCTGCCCCCCGCCCGTGTCATCACAGCACCTGACAGCCCCTGCCCCCACTGTCCCTGTGCCCTTTTCCACCTTCCGTTCTCACTGGAGCCTGAGGGCTCTGGTGGCCCCCTCCGCCTTGGAGTGAGGGGTGTTTCCCGGCAGATGTGGGCGTGGGGTGGGGGTTGTGAAGCTCACAGCAGTCCTGTGATGGGTAGGGGTGGGCGCCATGGCAACTGCAGGGTGATTTCTGTGTTGCTGTTGGCGATGGGAGGCAGGGCTGCAGGGAGGCTGATCCTGCATCCAGATGTACCTCTGGGGAGTCCTCCTCCCCCCTGGCCTGTGTCCTGGAGCTGCCCCAGGCCTGGGAGCACCCCCCACTTGGCAATTACCTGAGACCTTCCATCAGCTCTGCCCTCTGTGCCTTGCATGCATGCCAGCTACACAGAACGGGGCCCCACACCAGCTACACAGGACAGGGGCCCCACACCAGCTACACAGGACAGCCCCCCCCACTGTAGTGGCTCAACTGCAGCGTCGCCCGCAGGAAATCGTGACCATCGTGGTGTTCGGTGTGGAGTACTTCGTGCGGATCTGGGCGGCTGGTTGCTGCTGTCGGTACCGCGGCTGGAGAGGGCGGCTCAAGTTTGCCCGGAAGCCCTTCTGTGTGATTGGTGAGGCCTGGTGGGGGTAGGTGGGCAGGCACAAATGCAGGACTGGCTCTTTCTGAAAGTTTCTTCCCACCTGCCCTCTTGGCGTCAGAGCCCGTGGTTGATGCAGCCTGAGTGCAGGGCAGTGAGGTGCTGGGCAGCCGTGCCCAGGGAAGGGTTGGGCTGGGGGGGCTGTGGAACCAGGCCCTGCTGGCCCTTTGTGTGTGTCCATCTGTCCATCCTCCTAGAGCCCTGGTGGGGGCCGTCCTTCTGCAGCAGAGGGCCCACCCCCCAGCTCCGCCATCTCCCACAGACATCATGGTGCTCATCGCGTCCATCGCCGTGCTGGCTGCCGGTTCCCAGGGTAATGTGTTCGCCACATCAGCGCTCCGGAGCCTGCGCTTCCTGCAGATCCTGCGCATGATCCGAATGGACCGGCGGGGCGGCACCTGGAAGCTGCTGGGCTCTGTGGTCTACGCACACAGCAAGGTGACGGTGCCAGGCCAGGGTGCGGAGGGCTGGCTGGGCATGATGCAGCCCCTCATTTCCTCTGGGCATCTTCCCACGACTTGACCCTTGACCTCGTCTCTCCAGCTTTTCTGCCAGGCCCGGTCCATTTAGGTCCCACCCAGAACCAGCTGGCTCCGTGGTGGGGGGGTGTGCTGCATTAGTGTCCATCCCCCAGTCACCTGCCCATTAGGCTGAGGCTCGTGGTGGCCACTGGCTGTGGGACCTGCGAGGTGGCTGCAGTCCCAGGTCCTTCCCGATCCCCACCCTGTGTTCCCAGGAGCTCCACAAGCCCAGACCCCACCCTGCTAGGCTGTGCAGAGAGGCCCTCCTGCTGGTGGGTGACTGTATTGGTCCCCAGCCTTCTCCCCACTGTCCTTCCTGTCTGAAGACCCGAGGCTGGGCTTTGGTTGACAAGACAAAGTGGGAGTCTCCCTCAGCCTCAGGGAAGTTTGGGTGGGGCCCCAGCAGGCCCAACATTCCCCAACCTGCCCGCCTGACAGCCATTCAGGACCACTCCCTTCCTGGGTGGATGCGGCTCTGGGCCATCCCTGCCTGCCATCCTCTAGGGGTGAGATGCACAGGTGTGGGACCACCCAGGGCTGGGGCTGGTGCTGGAAAACCAGCTGCCTCTCCTGTCTGCCCGGGCTTGGGGCTCCCAGGGACTCTGCGGCCAGCTCTCGGGAGAGGTACCTGCCCCGGAAGCCCAGGGGACCCAGAGCTCAGCGAACCTCCAGCCAGATGGGACCTTGTGCTCCTGGGCGGGTTAGGCTGGGTGCCAGCCTGGCAGCTGTGATGCGGCCATCTCTTTCAGGAATTGGTCACTGCCTGGTACATCGGCTTCCTCTGCCTCATCCTGGCCTCGTTTCTGGTATACTTGGCGGAGAAGGGGGAGAACGATCACTTTGATACCTACGCGGATGCACTCTGGTGGGGCCTGGTGAGTGTCTGTCCTCTGGGGCCAAGGAGAAGGGCCTTCACCAAGGATGTGCTCGCCGGATGTGGCCTGCCTTGGGGTCCCTCCTGCCCATGGTCTGAACTCCCCCCACCCCTCCCCACGGTATGCCCCTGACTGCCCAAGCCTGGACAGCAGACCTTCAGTTCTCCCGCCTGACCTGGCTGGAGACATATTTCTGGGGCCACCTGCTGGCTGCTTCTGACCAGGATGCCACGTGGAGGTGGCATCCCAGGTGGGCTGTGGTGGGGGATGCACTGGTCTATGTGGGGTGGCAGGAAGCCTGGCCCTCAGGGAACCTGTGCCCAGCCATGGCCGGTCACCTTCCTTCTCCGCTGACCAACCTGTGTGATCTCTGTGATGGAGGGGGAGGGGCGGTGCTGCCTGTCATGTTGATGGAGGAGAATTTGAAAAAGGGGAACTGGACCCCCTGACTCAACCTCCCAGGCTGCTCCTGACGAGGAAGACTCCATCCAGAGCTGGTGAATTTTTGACCCATGCTCACAGCCACCTACCTCCTGGGCCCCTTGTGGGCCCCTCTCCTGTCACCAGGTGCAACGGCCTCTTCTGAGAAGAGGCTTCCTGGGCCACCCTCCGAAGGGCCCCGCAGACCTCGACCCCAATAGCTCGAGCCAGGACCTCCGTTTAGCTCCTCCTTGTCTGTTTCCAAGGACGCCCCCAGGTGGGGGCCGAGTGCCCCTCCTTTGTGAGCTCTTCTGGGGGTGCTGGACACTCAGACGGGGAACCCCTTCTGCATATTCCCCACCTACACCGGGGGTTTCCTCTGTGAACTTTATTTTTATTTTAGTGTTTCATTTTTGGCCGTGTTTCTTGATGTGGGGGGGTCTTAGTTCCCAGACCAGAGACTGAACCTGGGCCCTCGGCAATGAAATTGCCGAGTCCTGACCAAGAGACCTCCAGGGAAGTCCCTTCTCTGTGAACTGCAGACTTTAAAGGTTCCCTCTGCTCTCTGATGGGATGAGATTGGCCCCTCCCCATCCTATCATTCTTGGGAGCCGTTCCACCTGAGATCCCCTTGTTCTGCTCTGGGGGCTGGTGGTCCTTGGAGGGGCCTCATGGGCACTGGGGGAGTCCTCCCACTGCCTCGCTCTCAAGCTGGCCTCCTGAATGCTGGCTGTGAACACTGGCCTCAAATGCTGGCCCCAAGGACCGAGGCCGCAGCAATCCCCCACGCCCCCAAGTCTGCCCTTGTTTTGGGAGTACATGACCTTCTGAGGGAGAAGTTTGTGAGATCCTGTGTGTGGAGGTGCCCCCAATCCCATGCCCCTCCTGGCAGCTGGACCCTTCCCTCTCTGGCCTCAGTTTATAAGGCCCCCCTCCAAAGGCCCCTACATGACCCCTGAGCATCCTCAGAGGGTCCCTTGGCCCTGTTGCCTCTGAGGCTCTGGCTTTTTCGGAGCCTCCTGGCTGCCCGTCTGGCTGGAGGTCAACCCTCCTGGGTGAACCTGCCCTGCCCACCTCAGGTGTAATTGAGAGTGGAGGCCAAACACCCCACCCCCCGCCCCTTGTTCATTTTGGTTCTTGAGTGGGGAAGGGTGGCTGGTGGTGACCCCGGCCTCACGGGCCCCACGTGGGCAGCATGGGGTGGGGGTCTGTCCAGCTGCCCTGAGGCCTCGGAGGGGGCCCTGGCTCCTGCCAGGCCTGGCTGAGGATGGGCCCTCTGTTCACAGATCACCCTGACAACCATCGGCTATGGCGACAAGTACCCCCAGACCTGGAACGGGAGGCTCCTGGCGGCGACCTTCACCCTCATCGGTGTCTCCTTCTTTGCTCTTCCTGCCGTGAGTCCCGCCTTTCCTGCCTTTGTGGGGGATGGAGTCTGGCCTCCTCGGTGACCACTGCTTTCCTTGGGGTCACGTGGGACAGGGCAGGGCTCCCTTCTTACTGCATCTCTGGGTCCCCATCAGCAGCCCCTAGCCCTGGGATTGACCAGTTGGGTCCCTGTGGTCAGGAGTGGAGCTGTGGCTGATATGGCTCTGGCAGGTTTCCTGCAGAAGGCTTGGGGGCCCTGTCAGCCCTCCCCCTGCAGCTGTGCAGGGCGTGGGGGAGCTGGTGGTGCTGCTGTCCAAGTGTTCTCTGAGACCCTGGGCCTCACCCCCCTCTCGTTGCAGTGTAGACAGACTGGGAAGGACTGTAACCTTTGTGCCCAGATGTGTTCAGAGTGGGCCCTGCCACTCTGAAGCCCCCAGTCTATCTCCTGGTGACTAGGGGCTGGGGGTAGGGGCGAGAAGGTGGGGCCAGGAGTGTGCAGGCAAGGTGGGGGGGCTCTGGTCCCCGGGCGCTGTCTGACCCCAGTGACTTGCAGGGCATTTTGGGGTCTGGCTTTGCATTGAAAGTTCAAGAGCAGCACCGTCAGAAGCACTTTGAGAAGAGGCGGAACCCTGCAGCGGGTCTGATCCAGGTGCGTCCAGATAGCCCCCATGTGAGCCCCACACGGACCCATGGGACCCCTGGCCTAGGCCCGAGGTGTTAGAGCGAAGCCCCTCTGGTGTTTGTCTCCTGTCGGGGAATTCAAGTCTGTGCTGAGAGCCACTTAGATGCTTGCAGTGGCCCGGCACCTGTGGCACAGGTAACATCAAGGTCAGTGGTCTGTGGGCCCTGGGCCAGGCTGTCACCGGTGCCCCCGAGCTGTCCCCTCATAGCACCAACACTGCCTTGCACTTGTGGGATGGGCGTTCAGAGACCCCCATGCAGGTAGGTGGCGGAGCCATGTCTGTGCTGCCCAGCTTGCACCACCCACCCCATTACTGGGGTCACAGTGGCCATGCAGCGTCCAGCAGTGCTTCCTAAGCCATCCTGAAAGTGCGGGCCAGGCCCAGGCTGCCCAAGGGGCTGAGGTTCCCACAGCCCTTCCCAAGGACCGGGGGACCCAGTGGACCTTTGGCATTGACTGACCTTTACTGCTGGCTGGACACTGGGTCGCGGCCACTTACCTGGCTTTCTTTTTTAAAGATGTGGTCTTGCCCACTCTGCTGCCTACATTTGTGTGTATATGTACACCTGTGTCTTTCACCGTAAGAACTTCAAACGACTGCTTCTTTTAAATGCAAAATAGTGTAAAGAAGAACAAAAATGCCCACCCCCCCATTGGCAGTAGTCCCACCCACTATTGACACCAAAGTCATAGTACTCCCAGTGGTTTCGAGGTCTGAGCAGCATAGGGAAGGAACGCAGCCTGAACAGATAGCACTTCCCCGCAGCCCCCTCCTCTCTGAGAAGCTCCAAGTTTTGGGGGAGGGTGGGAGATGGGGAGGCATTAGGGAAGACCCCCACACACTGGGGACTCCATGAGGCCACACATGCCCAGTGCTGAACGCAGGCTCAGAAGTGACTAGAGAAGACCCTAAGTGCTTACCTCACCTGACTTCATGTGGTAGGAAGTCAGCCTCTGAGACTTTGGTTTCTTAATATGACACCAAAAGCACAAGCAATGAAAGAAAAACTTTTGTGCATCCAAGGACACTATTTGAACTGTCTCCTTAGAGAGTAAAAAGATAACCCACAGGATAGGAGAAAATATTTGTACATCAGATACCTGATAGAGATCTGGTATCCAGAATACATGAAGGACTTGTAGCTCAACTACAAACAGACAAACGACCCAACTAAAAAATGGGCAAAGGATTTAAGTAGACATCTCTCCAAAGAAGATATACCAGATGGCCTATAAGAACGTGAAAAGATGTTCAACATCTTTCTTCATGGAGGAAATGCAAATCAAAAGTCCTTCATGTCCACCAGGATGGCTACAATTTAAAAAAATTAAGTTGATGAGGAGATGAAGTCAGAAACCTCATACGTCGCTGAGGGAGTGGGTGTGAAATGGTGTGGCTGCTGTAGAAGACAGTTTGGTGGCTCCTCTAAAGGTTAAACCTGTCACACAACCCAGAAATCCCGTTCTTAGGTGAACACCCAACAGAACTGGAAACAGGTGTTTAGCCAAAAACTTTGACGAAGGTGTTCGCAGTGGCACTGTTCACAGGAATCAAAGGTTGAAACACCACCTCAGGCAGTGAAAGGGTGCAGAAGATGTGGTCCGTCCACATGCTCGAATCTTGTTGTTGTTTTTAGTCACTCAGTCGTGTCTGACTCTTTGTAACCCTATGGACTGTAGCCCATCAGGCTCCTCTGTTCTGGGGTTTCCCAGGCAACAATACTGGAGTGGGTCGCCATCTTCTCCAGGGGATTTTCCTAGGGATTGCACCTGCATCTCCTACATTGCAGCAGATTCTTTACCACTGAGCCACCTGGGAAGCCCCATGCTTGAATATGTCTGGCCTTAAAAAGAACAAGGCTCGGACACGGGCTCCACCAGGGACAGGCCTTGGGAACGTGCTAAACGGAGGAAGCCAGACCCAGGAGGCCTGGCACTGAAATTCTATTGCTAGGAAGTGTCCAGATTGGGGAACCACAGAGACTGACGCAGATCAAGGATGGCAGGCCAGGGGTGGAGGGAGTGGGGAGTCATGCGGTGGGTTGGGGGCCCTTAGTCTTGAAGTGGTGAAAGTGTGTTGTTTGTCAAGGGGACATTTGCACAGCATCAGGAATGAGCTTAGCACCAATCAACTATGCCCTTTAAAAGGGTGACTTTTATGTTATGTGTATTTTACTCTGATTAAGAAGAGTTGTTGGGAACAGAGGCCAGGCCCAGCCAAGGCTGGTGTAAAGGGCAGGCCTGTGCCCTGCAGGGGTTCAGCCTTACAGTGGAGGATGCAGCCCATGTCCTTGGCTCTGGCCCTCACCTCCTGTCCCCTGGGGAGGGCAGGAAGGTGACCATGATGCTGGGTGATGGCTGCCAGGCATTAGGTGGGACAGATGGAAGGGAAAGAACTGGAATTCCATGCAGACTCATTGCTGGGGCCCCCCTCTCAACTCCACTCTGCAGAGGTGACTGTGGCCCATGGAGTGGGAGCGACACTGGGCTGCTGTCTAGAGGCCAGTGCAGAGGGATGTGTGGGGGCGAAGCCCTGGGAGAGGCGGGAGGGCCCCTAGCGACTGCCTGACCCCCGTCCTCTCCACAGTCCGCCTGGAGGTTCTATGCCACCAACTTGTCGCGCACAGACCTGCACTCCACGTGGCAGTACTACGAGCGCACGGTGACCGTCCCCATGTACAGGTACCTCTGCCCCCCACCACGCTGCCTGTGTGTGCCCCCCATTTGTCCTTAATCCCCATTTTCAGTTGTTCATCATTTTGTTTGCTTTTTGTTCTTTTTCTTTAAAACATGTACTTTTCAAAAATGAATTGTGTGTGATTTATTTTATTAACTTTGTTCTCTGTTTTATAGTTTGCGGCTTTTATTTTTCACCTTCATTCCGCCCCCTGCTTAGTGTCCTTGCTGTCAGGGGTGTAGTGTGTGAGTCTGGTGGACACGGCCCCCTGAGCTCACGGAGGTAAATGCGGCTGCTTCCACGGACCACAGCCCGGTGCAGCCCTACTGGTGGGGGGCCCTGTGTTTAGAAACAAAAGGATAACCTTGACCCTCTGACCCCCAGCAAGGGCCAGGGTCTCTGTCGAGGAAGGAGAGACACCCTGGACCACAGCGAGGCCCCAACAGGACAAGGTGTAGACACCCCCAGGATCCCTGCGGGGGAGAGAGTGTCCTGGGGAGGCCCCCTGGGGGCCGCATGGACAGTGGGCACCCTTTCAGGCTCTGCCCCTGGGGTGTGTTGGTGCCAGGCCTGGGCTCAGGATGAGGTCCGAGGTGAGAAGGGTGGGGGCCTGGCTGGAGTCCATGAAGGTCAGGTGCCCTCCGGTGAGTGCTGAACTCTGGGTCCTCTCAGCCAGAAGAGTCCCCTTACCTGCCCCTGGGTGTCCACCCACGGAGCCCTCACTGGGGCAGAGTCCTCCTGCAGGTCCCCACCTGCCTCTCCCAGGATCTGTCACCTGGGAAACAGTGCTGCCCGTTCCCCTCTCCAGCATTCGACCCACCAGCACTTCCGGGGACACTCAGTCTCGGGGTGCCGGGGGCCCAAGGGCACTCGCTGTCACCCCAGGCCCTGTGCTCCCAGCCCTCGAGGCAGGACCGACCCTCGTGCTAATTTTCTTTGTTCTGTTGTTTCCCCCACTTTCCTCAACTATTTTTTTTTCATTTCCTTTTTCTTCTCCTGTTCTTTTACAATCTTCTGTTCCTTTCCCTCTGTGTGTGTGTGAAAAACACTTGAAAGCTCGCAAACTCAAACCTACGGGGCCTCCAGGTAGGATTGCATGGGCGGAAAGCGTGTGGTGTGATTCTGTTCTGTTGGGGACTGTCCCGGGGCCCCCTGAGCTAGCCCCGCCCGGCCTGTGGCCCCTACCTGGAGCCACACGCCCCCTCCTCGCTCCCCTGGTCCCCTCTCCTGACTGCCCCCACCCCCAGCTGCTTTCTTGTGCTGGATCTGTCTGTCCAGGTGTTTTCTGTCCCTTGTTCTGCTTCCTGCCTGTCTCAGTGGCTGGGGTCCTGCCCCTGCGCCTCCACCCTGCCCCCGGGGCCCCACTTATGCCCAGTGCAGAGGTAGTGGAGACAGGGTATTGGCCGTCCCAGTTTGGGGCACCCCCAGTTAGCAGCCCCCAGTCCTGGCCGACTGCTCTGGGCTTGGGGTCTCTCTCTCTCTGCATCCACTCCCCCAACCCCAAGTCTTTGCACTGCAGTGAGAGTGAGACTCGAGGCTGTGGACAGAGGGTCCTGTGGCTCATCCATGTGGCCCCACTGACCGTGTCTGCACCGGACAGCTCGCTTCCTGGGGTCCTCTGTCTAGACCGGGTGCCGAGCTGCTCCAGGAGGGGTCTCCTGTGCCCTTCGTTGGCCCTGTCTTTCCCCTCAGAGTGGTGGCACCGTGCTCCGCCCTGCAGAGCAGGGCTCTCTCATCCTCCCTCGGTGCCCTGTGTGGGAACCTGTCAGAGTTAATCCTCTGCTCCCAGAAGGGAAGAGGGGGCCGGGCAGGGCCAGGCTCCGAAGGCAGGAGGGCCTGACCCCCTGCCCCCAGAGGCGGCGTGGAGAGGGAGCAGGGTCCTTCCCGGCTGCTGACCCTGGACTCCTGGGGCTCCAGGTGGGGGGGACCCTGCCAGGCTCCTCCCAGACCAGCAGCCCTTTGGTTCATCTACTCCAGCAACACCACATCCCCCGATGTCTGGGGAGACACCCCTGCCCAGCCCCGGGCCTGGGGACTGGTGGTGTCCTCCATAGCCGGCTGACCCCTAGACTAACACTGCTCGCTCCTGTGTGTCCCACCCCCATCACCCGCTGCACCCTCGTCCCCCATGACTGGACTGTGTGTGCGTGGCCCTCGAGTGTGTGGTGCCTGCATGTCCTTTGCCCGTCTGTGTTCTGTCCCCCTGCCGCTCTGTGTCCAAGGCATGGCGCCCTAACTGCGTGTCCCTGCCCTTGACCCACGTGTGTGGGGGCTGAGTGGGTCCAGCTGCCCAGGGTCTCTGCTCCAGGCCATGGTGGGTGCTCAAGGTGGTGGGGAGACCAGCTCTTCCCCAGTGTCACTCCTGGGGCTCTACTGTGCCCATGGCTTGAGCCGACTGAACTGCCCAGGCCTCCTGCTTGGTCTGAACCTAAGAGGACAGGGGAGAGCCTTGGAGAGGAGTGGGGAGGGGGAGAAGGAGGGCCAGCGTTCCCAGGATCCAGGCCTGGCGGGGCTGGGACTGCAGAGGGAACAGAGGGACGGGGCCACACCTGCTGGCCCTGGGATGGCAATGACCAGGGCAGGGCCGGGGGAGGGATGCTCCTCTGGGTGCTAGGGGCATGGCTGGGGAGCGGAGGAGTTGGGAGAGACCAGAGCAAAGTTGGAGGCTGACTGGCGGGGGCAGGTCAGGGCTGCGGGTACAGGGGGTCAGGGATCTTCCTGTTTTGGAGACAGTGGGGAGTCCGAGCAGAAGGACTAGAGCGAGTCAGAAGAGGATGGGCATCCGGGGACCAGGGACATGGGGTACATGGGAGGGACAGGAGGGGGTAGGGGCTGGAACCAGGGTGTGTGGGGAATGGTGGTACTGTGGGACAGAGTGAGGACACCCAGGAGAGTCTTGGACACATTTGCCTGGGAGAGTCAGGGGTCCCCAGGATCAAGAAGGCCTGAGGCTCAGGACAGGGTTTGGGGACCTGGGGCTCAGTGGGGATGTCACAGACAGTGGGGGTGTCAGAGCAGGTGGGGGTTCATAGACAGTGGGAGTGTCACAGAGCAGGTGGGAGTTCACAGACAGTGGGGGGGTCACAGAGCAGGTGGGGTGTCAGAACAGGTGGGGGTGTCAGAGCAGGTGGAGGCTGAGTCAGGAAGGAGAGACCGGTGTCTGGAAGCTGACAGGGTGACTGATGGACGAGATGGAAACTGAGGGTTGAAAGTGTCCAGGAATCAGGTGGGAAGTGGGGAGTGGGGTGGGGAGGGACCTGGGGAGTGGAGTGGGAGGAGGGACAAAAGTGTCCCCAGACAGCATGGGGACCCAAGTCTCTAGGTGAGGCTCCTGCAGCTGGAGGTGGGGGCGTGGGCTTCCCCAGGAGCCACCCAGGTGTACAGACCACTGCCTGGCATCCCAGAGGTACTTGATTCACCTCTGGCTTTCTTGCTGGTGGCCACAGCCTGAATGCTGGATTGGCAGGCAGGCCAGGCATGCGGCTGTCCTGGTGGGTGGGACTCTATCTGGGAAATGGGGCTCAGAGTAGGGCCAGACCAGTCACCCAGGAGCCGCCCAGTGGGCTCTGCCCAGCACAGTCCTTTCCTGGGACCTCCGCCCTGCTCAGCTTTGGCAGAGAGAGTGGCTCAGAGAGAGAGGGGTCTGGGAGTCCTAGGATGTTGGGGGCTGCATTTTCAACTGTGCTGCAAATCCAGGGGGTGTTCAGGAGTTGGGAAGGGGGAGGGGCAACCCCCCATTTTCTGGTGCCCTGTGGGACCTGCTCCACGTGGGCGTCCCTTCTAGGGATGGCCTGGACACCACCCGCTCCCAGGCCGAGGTGCCCAGGGAAAGTGAGCCCAGAGGAATGCAGAAAGTGCCTGGGCTGCAGAGGTGGAGGCACGGGCTCCCCGGGGGTCTGCTGCCGCCATGGATTCCTCCTGTTTCTGCCTGTGACAGGTCATCACGGCCTGTGTCCCCATGTGCGATGTGGACACCGGTGAGAGCTGGCATGGGGGTCCCTGGGGCTCTGGTGGGTTGTGGGCTCACTCACCTGTCCTCTTGCTGCAGACTGATCCCGCCGCTCAACCAGCTGGAGCTGCTGCGGAACCTTAAGAGCAAGTCTGGACTTACCTTCAGGTGGGCAGGGGTGTCCATGCTGGCTCTGATCCCCCGTGGCTCCATGAGAGCCAGTAGGGGCGCCCAGGCCGGGCTAAGGCCCCCGATGGCTCAGAATGTTCACATCCTATTGCTGTAGGCCCTGGTGCTGCTGGTGGTTTTCCCCTGTTGCTGACCAGTCTTGGCTCCCATCCTGAGGGTGGCTGGTTTGGGGGTGGGCACGGGGGAGGTGGTACTCCATATGGGGCTGGGAGGCTGGTGCTCTGGCCACAGGTCAGAGGAAGAGTCCAACCCAGGAGCAACGGATGGAGACACGTGAGTAGCACCTGCTGCTTCCTTCACGACCACAAAGCCTGCGACTCCCGGAGCACTTGACACAGACAGGCTTGCCAAGGACATGGACTGGCCAGTGGGCAAGGAGGGGAGGATGCCTGCTAGGCCCAGCGCCCAGGGCTATTTGAAGAGCTCTCAGCAGTGGGGCATCTGGAGAGGGTTGGATAGTGCCCCCCTGCAAAGATTCATCTGTGTCCTGGGACCTGTGAACATGACCTTATCTGGAAGAGTCCTTGTGGGTGTGGTTAAGTGAAGGACCTTAGCTGTCCTGAGCATCGGCAGCTCCAGAGCTTTCTTCACACGTTCTCTTTGAAAGTTTGTTAATATTGGTGATGCTGATTAAAACAAGTGTCCATAAACATGGGGCCATAGCACCCTCAGTCTCAAAACTTCTCGTGACCACTTCCAGATTCGCTGTCCCTCCGCTGCCTCCTTGAGCCCCCAGGGAACTCTCAGGGGTGTGTGGGCTGTTTCTGCACCCCTCACACGCAGCCCTGGCCCATGGGAGCATTGTGCATCAGCTGGGCCCTGTGTGGGGTCCAGTCACTGGGCCGGCTTCTGACATCCTGTGCTTCTGTTTGCAGGAAGGAGCCTCAGCCGGAGCCATCTCCCAGGTCAGTGCCCGCCTGCCTTCTGCTGCCTCCGCTGTGCTCTGAGTGTCCCGTGGAGCTCGCGCTGCTGCGGGGCCTGTGCATGCTCCCTGATGCCACTGCGCGAGGACCCCTGCCCGGTGGTGATGTGGGCACCTGGGTCTATGCCCCCTTCCAGGCCCCCAAGCTGAGGGGCAGCTCCTGTCTGCCCGCCTGTGACTGCAGCCCCTTGGGCAGGAGTTGGGGGGCTTCCAGGGGAGCGGTCTCACTGGCTCCAGGCACAGGGTCTGGGCTTCTCTGAGTCGAGGGTGACCCAGGTGGACACTCCCACAGGGTGTCCCAGACACTGCAGATCAGGGTCAGGCAGTGGGGAGGGGGGTGCTGTTCTGAGGGGAGGTCTTCACACCACCCCTGAAGGTCTTGGTTTGTGGAGGTTTCTGGAGGATGGAGGAGTGGGAGAGGGTTCCCTTTGGGCAGGGTCTCCTGCCCCGCCTCACACCCCCTGGGTGGGCACCCGTACCCCACTACTCGTGTCTGTCTAGGCCCCTGCAGTTCTATTTGGTTTATGTGAATTTGAGACCGGGACCCCAAATGGGGACTCCCGGGGGTGATCTCAGCTGGGGTTGGGGTGATAGCACCCTGCTGTTTTCCTAGTTTTGAAAAGAAAGCCAGATCAATTCACTACTTTTGAGGCTGGTGACCTGCAACCTGCCCATGTACTGCTGTGTATCCCTGAGCTCAGGGGTTCCCTGGTGCCCTGTCCACACCTGCATGGGGAGTCCCATCCCCCAGGCCATGGGCCAAAGACGCTGCCGGCTTGTTCGTGCCCTCCTGGACTGAAGGCTGCTCAGCTGGGAAGGCACTGGGCTGAGCCCTGCTTCAGCATCCATCGGAGGGGGGCATGTACCCCACCCCTGAGTCTCTGAAGCGGGTTGGCCACTGGAGCTGACCTGAAAACATCAGCAGTGCTTTGCCTCCAACCAGCCCAAAGAGCAGCAGAGACAACCCTTTAGATCCCAGACCAGAGTGGCTTTATCCTGGGCAGTGACCTCTGTTCTCATGGGCACAAACCAAGGGGCCCGGCACCGGGCTGTGGTCAGGTGGGCAGGGAGGGGGAGCAGCAAGCCTGACGTCTGGGGCGCCCCAAGGCTGCTCCGCTTCATTGGTTCTCGTTGGTGCTGCCATCAGCCCCTCCTGTGAGCCCCCAGGACCCGGAGGCCGAGCAGGTGGGCGCGGCTGCCCTCAGCTCTGCCCAGTGGGTGCTCTCTGGCCCTCGGCGCGGCCCCTCCGGCCTATCGCGGCTCCCTGTGCTCACCGCCTGCGTGCCTCTCCCCTCCAGACAATTTTCGTCTCAGCCTCTCTCTCTCTCTCTCTCCTCTCCTGCCCTCCCCTCCCCCAATCTGGAAAATCTTGCCTGCCCCCCCAAGTGCCTTTAATCATGTCACTGCCCTTCTCGGGCCCCTTTCACGTCCGCTCTGTCTTTGGGGATGAGGTGGCTGACCCTGAAAGCAGGACTCCAGGTGAGGATTCACGGGAGCCCCCTGGCTCTCCGGCACGTTCTGTGGCTCCCCTTCCTCGAACCCGCTTTTTGCTCCTCCCTCCCTCCCCGTGTGTCCGTGTGTCCCTGCCTGTGACCAGCGGCTTCCCCTGGGGGCCCCAGGCTGAGGCCCTGGGACAGAGGGCGGCCTATCCTGGGAGCACACCTTTCAGCCAGGGCATTTCTGTGCCCCGACTGGAGCAGCCAGGAGCCCCTGTGCAGCACCTGGTGCACAGTAGGTCTGCAGGAAAGGGTCCCGCCCTGGACACCTGTGGGTGGGCTGTTCCTGGGCTGCCCGGCGAGGGGACCCTAAGCAGGTGGATGGGGTGGGTGCGGGGCTCCTCCACTGTTGGGAGACCCTTTGGTCCTGGCTCATGGTGGGGACATGCACTGTTGGCTGTGTGGGCGTCAGACCAAGGCGTGGGGCTGGCGGAGGGCGGGGGCAGGTGGGGGTCTCGGGCTGTGCTGCTCCGGGTGTGGCTCTGACCTGCCCTTTGATCTACCCCATTTCTGACTGCCTTCTCCTGTGCCTGGGGAAACCCCTGTGCCCCAGCTGCTTTGCTCCCGTCCGTGTGGCCCCCTCTTCGTGGTGGGGGGCCGTGTGCCGTGTTTGGGTGCGTGTCTGTCCAGTCTTTTGTTGGTGACTGTTTGTGGGCACCTCTTCCACCCTCTTGAGCCCAGGCCCCCCCGGGCTGAATGTGGGCAGGAAACCCCAGGGCCAGCCTAGAGCCCAGAGGTGATGGGCTGGAGTCGGGGCTCCTCACTGCCCACCCCAAGCAGAGGAGCACTGTTCAGGGGGGTTGGCTGGGCCACCACCAGTCCCCCTCCCTCTGCTCTTGTCCTGCTCTCAGACTTCCTTGTTTCATGCAGGAGCCTCTGGCCACGTGAGGCTGTTTAAATTTTCATTAAAACTAAAGAAACCACTGCAGTTGGAGAGCTGCTCCCCAAGCTCTTGTGCGTGGGAGCCAGGCTTGAGGTGTCACGTAGGAAATGGTGGGTGGGCAGTGTGGGGCTGTTCATCTGTTCAAGGCTGGGGTCCTTCCAAAGAGCCGGAGGCAGACACCCCACCCCACCTCATGCTATTTCCTGGGGGAGGAGCCCCCAGGCGGGGCAAGACAGGGCTCTGTGTGCAGGCCTGGGGACCCCTGCAAGGAGCTGGCCATGTAGATCTTGGTCTTTAGGGTCTTCATCTGTCCAGCAGGCCCTGGTGGAACTGTGGCTGCCTCGGGGGTGTGCCGGGGGAGAGCACGTTTGCCCTAAATTTGAGTTCTGTGAGCTTCTGGGGGGTGGGGTCCGAGTCCTGGGAAAGTGTGCCCCTCCGCCCGGGGTGGCCCTCTAATTAGTTTTTTTCTACAACCTGAAGTAACTGGGGAAGGTCCCACCAGGGAAACGCACACTCTCATAGTGTCCTCCACGGAGGACGAGGCCGATGAAGCCGAGGGAGAGCTCTTTGAGGAGCCTTGACCCTAGCTTGCTGGTGTTAATGTGGGGAAATCCTTGCTGGGACAGTGGCAGGTGCCACCGGTGTTTAAGTGAATGTGAGTCGACACTGTTGGCTGCGTCCGGGTTTCTAGGCGCAGCAGTTTGACAGTCACTGTCTCAGAAGCAACAACTTCGAAGGTGGAGGCAGAGAGTAAGACCCCAGGGAAGCGAAGGGTTTCTTGATGTTCTCGCTGGTTCTTTTCATTTCCGCTTAAAAGTTTTGTGGCTCAGACAGTAAAGAATCCGTCTGCAAAGCAGGAGACCCGGGTTCAATCTCTGGGTCGGGAAGATCCCCTGGAGAAGGGAATAGCAATCCACTCCAGTATTTTTGCCTGGAGAATCCCATGAACAGAGAAGCCTGGCGGGCTGTGGTCCATGGGGTCGCAGAGAGTTGGACATGACTGATCAACTAACACACTTGCAGGTTCTTGTGCACAGCTGAGGCTCGCTCTGGCCTTTGCCGAGGGTCTTGGGCAGGCTGACCACCAGCTGCCTTTCCTGAACAGCTGGCTGCACGTCAGGATAGCCTTCACCCAGGGTCCGGCCTTGGCCGGCCCTTTGATGTGCAGGTGCCCCAAGCCTCCTCCTCCTCGGCTCCCCTCTGGGCAGAGGTGGCCACTGCCCTCTGGGTAAATGGGGGCCACTTCTGATCAGGCCGCTGGCTGGGTTGGTTTGTGAAGCCAAACTCGCACGTTTTTCCTCTGAAAACGTGAGCTTTCTGAAATCCTGTCCCTGTAGAACCAGCAAAGCCTTAGCCCATGTATTATTTTTTTGTTGGCATGAATATAGCAAAAAATAATACATCTTTTGAAAGAGATGGCCCCAAATAGATGCTGGAAGGAAAAGGTATTTTTGGAGAGAAAAAAAAAAAGGATTTCTTTTTCTCTCCAAAAATAGGGACTATTTTCTTTTCCAGGCTGACGGAGGACTTCGTGCGCGACCTCCGCGCTCGCACTTCTCTCTCCCATGCGAACTCTGTGGCGGGTGCACCCCACGCCCACACGCCTGGCCGGGGTCCCTCCGGTCGCCAGCGCCCCCAGGACTAACTGTCCTCTCCTCATTTCCAGTAAAGGCAGACGGTGCGCAGAGTCCCTGTGTGGATGCTGCCCAGGACACGCTAGGTACCGCGGACACGCCTCTCGGACGACCATTGCTGCACGGCTCTTGTCCCCTCCCGCTCCAAACACTCTGCTTATTAGAGGTTCTAGATGCGCCAGGGAAAGGCTGGCGCCCGCCCGGCCCCCCAGGCCCCGATTCTGATTGGAAGCTCACCTCCCAGCCCCTTTGTGGAGCCCCTGCCCCCCTCTGACCCCAGGCGCCCTCCTGGGACACAGGGGCACGGCGCTAACGCCCTTCCTTCGCCTCAAGCCAAACGATGCCCCAATGATGCTGTACTCCAAGTAGGAGAGGGGCCGGCCAGGGGGTCTGAACCCGCAAAGCGCACCTTCCGGGGTCTGATTGCTCTCCTGCGAGACTTCCGCATGGCTGGGCCATCTAGCACCTCTACTACGCAAGGGAGGGCACTGCCCTCCACCCGCTGCCCGCCCGCGGGAGGCGGCTCTGTCCTGTGTGTGCCGGGCTCCCTGTGGTCCTGGCACACCAGACGCACCGGAAAGCCCGAGGTCCGCGGCTCCCCCCTCCCACGTACAGGCCTGGTTTAGGGCAGACTGGAAACGGGACGGTGGAAGGGCCGACCTTTGCCCTGTGGGCTCCCTGACTGCTGGCACGTTTCCTCTCTCTGTGCCCTGTCTGCTCTCGGGGATGTGGAAGTGTCTGTCCTCCTGCTTGCTCTGGGCCCCCTGCTGCCCGCCCCACCCTGCCCCGTGCGGCCCGCAGGTGCTGGCAGCTGCACTCACCAGTCATCGTGTGCATGTGGTCCGAGCTGGCCCTGGAAGCAGGGGTGTTGAGCGGTGGGCGTCGGGAGGGGCCGGGCAGCAGGTCGGGGCTCCAGGGCGGCATGCCTGCACACCTGCATCCGTGCATGCTCCGAATCCTGCTCCCCCAGAGAGGGGCTCGGAGGGGAGACCTCCCCCCACCCCGCACCTGCCGTGCTGCCTGTGTGTTCTGAAGTAGGCCTGCGGGGGTGGGGGGCTCTTGCAGCCCTCGGAGGGGAGATTTGGGGTCCCAGCAGAAGCTGTCCTGCTTGCCCTGAGCTTGTGTCCAGGGTGCTTCTGGCCACAGGCTGGCCTATCAGGTCGGGGGCTGTGGTCAGGCTGCCTGGGAACCGGAAGGGCCAAAGGTGCCCACAGCCGGTCCAGGGGCCCAGGCCATGCTTGGCCCCGATATGTGTGTTTCACAACTTTCCCCTCATCTTCCTCACCTTCCCTGGGCATCCAAGGTCCAGCTGTGGGCCAGATGGTTCTCTCGGTGGATGCTGGCTCTCCCCCCCACACGCTGGGCCCTGGCCGCGCAGACTAGGGTATAGGGGCGCTCAGCCGGGGCGCCCCCTCGCTTATCCCTGTTGATGGCTGGCTTCTCTTTTTGGTGATTTTGCCCTGGATGGGGGATGGGGGTGGTGGCAGGCAGGAGAGGAGAGGCTGGGCCTTGCTTTCTCCCCCAGACCTTCCTGAGCTTGCTCCCTGGCCCCGTGTAAATGCCCTTCACTTGGAGGGTGGGCTAGCTTCCTGCTCCTTCCCTGGGGGCAGGCAGCCGGAGCCCCACCATGCATTTGCTTTCATCCTTGGCTTGTGAGGTGAGGGAGGGCCTTTCTTGACTCCTGCAGGACTGTCAGCACTTGAGCACCTGGAGTTAACGAAGGATCAGGGTGGCTGGGGGGCTGTGTGCCTGTGACTCTGAGTTGTGATAACTGAGAAAGTCCAGACTACCACCTATGGTCCCCCAACAGGGCGCTCCTTTCCGGTCTGAGCAGTCTGAGAGTCAGGGATGGGATGGCGGGGCCAGGGCAAGGGCAAGGCCAGGGAAGACTCCTTCCTGTGGCTCTGTCCTCATAGGCAGCTGCGTGGGGCCAAGTTCCAGGGACCCCTGGTGTGCACAGGACGGCAAATCCAGCTGGGGGTCCCCATCAAATTCTAGGTGGGGCCCTTGCTTCTTGGTTCTCCTGGACCAGCTGGTGGTCTCCTTTGGGAATGACGAGGGTTATCTGCACACTGGCCCCCGTGCCCTGGCTCCGGGGGTCCCTCAGCCTCCCACCCCTGTCTTGGCCTCGTGCCAGGCACAGCAGTTACAGGCTTGGGGTTAGTGTCCTGAGCAAGCAAATGCCCTGGCTCCTGTGCTCAAGGGGACCCTGGGCACGCAGAGTCTGGGGGAACCTCCCCTCCGAGTGGGCTCCCTGCCTCAGGCCTGAGAACTAGCACAGAGGGTCTCAGCTGGCTGGGGGCAAGGTGGGGGCACCAGCTTGGATTGCAGTGTCTGGGCTGGGTGGACCAGGCCATGGGCCGTCTCTTGTCCATGGCCTGTCATCTCTGCGCCGTCTGACGCTGTGTCAGCTGTGGGTCCCCCTTGGGTCAATGGAGGTGGCTGACCCGGGGCATCAGTGATGGGACTGGCACTGTCTGAGGGATCAGCTGTGGTGGTTGCTTCCCAGGGGCAGCAGAGGCCCTGCCAGGTGCCCATGAGGGCTGGCGCCAGGCCCTGGGCCCCAGGGCAGTGCAGAGGCCACTCCAGGAGGTCCTGTGGCCCCTCAGTGTGGTGGCATGAATGGGTTCACAGTTCACAGGGACTTCGCTCTCCTCCAGGCAGATGGTGGTCTGTGGGAGGAAGTGAGTGGCCGCCTGGCCCTGGGCCTGACCTGTGACTACCACGACTGCTTCTGTCTCCTGCCTGAGGCCTGGAGGATGTTAGAACCGACAAACTCGGGGTGTCAGATCCATCTCTGTGGTTACCAATAGATGAGGGCAGGGAGCCCATTATGGGGCTGCGGCTGGATGGCCACGGTTGCCCCCTCCCTGTGGCCTCTGACCAGGGCTCAGCTGGCACCTCAAGTGTTCTCCAGAGTGTGAATGTTCTATTTCTGGATGGGTCCTGTTTGGGGGAACCTGTGCTGCCCTGGGTAGAAGGGGTGGGCAGACCCTTGCCCTCCGTGCTGCTTCCCCTCCCCCTCCCCTGTAACTCTTCCTCCAGGCAGCTTCCCAGGGTTGGGCAGATGGGCCCAGGGGTCAGCTGCAGACCTCACCCTCCTGACCTGGTGCAGTTACGAGGGTGGAGGGGCAGGTGTGGTAACCACTGAAGTGGCTGGGTGCCCTCAGGCGGTGCCCAGGACGTTTGGAGTAGGAGGCCTGGCTGGACAGTGTGGCAAGAGCTCAGGCAACCTTGGGTGGCAACTGAAAGTGATTTCAGAGTCCACTGACCGATCCCTGGCCAGGCCAAGCACCCAGTGGGCCCCGGGAGTCTGTGGTAGGGCTGACTCGTCTCCACTCACCCAGGCAACCCTCCTTCCCCATCCCCATGGCCTTGGCGCCCCATCTACCCGCCAGCAGCCAGTGGGCTGGAGTGTTCTTTGCAGGGTGACCTCTCTTGCTGTCTTTCTGTGTGTCTGTCCGTCTATCGGTTCTCGCGGGAGCAGTCAGAAGGTCAGTTTGAAAGACCGTGTCTTCTCCAGCCCCCGCGGCGTGGCTGCCAAGGGCAAGGGGTCCCCTCAGGCCCAGACCGTCCGCCGGTCACCCAGCGCCGACCAGAGCCTAGAGGACAGTCCAAGCAAGGTGCCCAAGAGCTGGAGCTTCGGGGAACGTGGCCGTGCCCGGCAGGCATTCCGGGCCAGGGGTGCTGCTTCGCGGCAGAACTCGGAAGGTGGGTTGGGCAGCCCTGGGGGTAGGGGCCTGCTGTCCTGGAGCTCTGGGAGGCGGGGCCACATGGGCTTGTCCTGCACCATGAGCTCCGTGCTCACCCACGGCACTGGTGACGGTGTGCCCCTGCTCTTACGGCAGACATTTCCCCGGGTCCTGTGTGTGGACATATCACGTTTTGTCCATCTGTCCATGCACATTGATGCCCTCTTATACTCTCATGGTGGCTGCCCCCCAAGGAGCACAGTTGAGGGGAGCAGGCTGAGAAGGCAAGAGTGGGGGGCTGGAACGCTGTGGGGCCAGAGCACCAGGCCCCTCAGTGCCAGGGGCTGCCCAGCCTCTCACGGGCTGTGTCCTTCCACCCAGAAGCAAGTCTCCCAGGGGAGGACATCGTGGACGACAATAAGAGCTGCAACTGCGAGTTTGTGACAGAGGATCTGACCCCAGGCCTCAAAGTCAGCATTCGGGCCGTGTGGTGAGGACCTGGCTGCCTCTCGCAAAGCCATCTGTGCACTCGGGGCCTGGGGAGGGGGTGTGAGGACACGGCTCCAGGGCAATGCCTCGTGGCTGACACCACTTCAGCCTGGGCCCTGAGGCTCACAAGACACCTGCTGTCATGGCTGTCACCTGCGCCCGGGTGCCAGGTGCCTGGGGCCGTCCGTGGATGGCCAGGAGCTGTGCTGCACGGGGGTTCCTGAGTGGACAAGGGTCCTCAGCACAGCTAGGCCCAAAGGTGGAGGGGTTATGGGGGGTGGGTGTCCTAGGTAATAGTGCTAGAGATGCTGGGAGGGCCATAGCTAGGTGGTTGTTGGGGGGCTGCCTTCAGTGGTCTCTGCCCAGGGCTCACAGCCCCTCGTCTGACCCCCCACTAGTGTTATGCGGTTCCTGGTGTCCAAACGGAAGTTCAAGGAGAGCCTGCGGCCCTACGACGTGATGGATGTGATCGAGCAGTACTCAGCCGGCCACCTAGACATGCTGTCCCGCATCAAAAACCTGCAGTCCAGGCAAGAGCGCCCACCCTGCCCTGGGGTGTGAAGCCGGGTCCTCTGGGCCAAACCTGGGTGCTGTTCGGGGACCGGTGCAGTGCAGGCTGCCTGTTCCTGGCAGAGATATGGCAGCGGATGCAGCTGCAGACACAGTGGCTGGCCCTGCTTGCTGCCACATCTGGGCCCTTCCTCTCCGGCCCCACACCGGCCCCATGAGGGGTTTCTGCCATGTCCTCGTGTGGTCTGTTTTTGAATCTTTCTGTTGTTTCTCTCTTCTCTCTGCCCTTGCTTATGATGGGCAAGTGTGTATGTGTGTATGTGTGCACATGCACGTATGTGAATGCACACGTGTACTCACGCACGTGCAGACCATAGGTACACATGTGCACACACTTGTATGTGTAAAGTGCATGCATGTGCATGTGTGCACACGAGTGCAACACATGTTTTGCAGAAGTGTCTGGGTGTACGCATGTATCTGTGTGTGTTGTGTGTCCTTGCATGTATGTGTGCCCACGTGAGCTGGGGAGAGTAGTTCTGTTGAGAGGTGAAGGGCCAGTTTTCCCTGGGCCTGTTGGGCAGCAGTTAGGCCGTGTGGCACCTCTTCCTCCAGAATGGAAGGGCAGGTTCTCCCTCCCCTCACACAGAGGGATTCCCATGGCCAGAGTAGGCGGTGGGGCTGGACAGGTGCCTGGCGTGGCCGGGGCAGGGCACACGCGGGCACTGCCGTCTCTGGCTTGTTCACTCTAGGAGTCAGTCATACATGCATGTACACAGACACAGTGAGGACTCGGGACACACATGCACACAGAACTATGTCTACTCCCACATGCACATGTGTGTTGGCACACGTGTACACAAGTAACTGTTTCCTAAGTCTCATGTCCACATATATGTCCCATAGGCCAGCACACACACATGCACACTGAGTACACATGTGCTCAGAAGCACGCACCGTCCACACAAACGAGCACACGTGTCTGTGGTGCCTGTGATGCCATGGCTGTCGTGGGTCTGTCCTGGCGTGGGCCTCACCCTCTGCTGGCCAGGCCCCTCCACTGAAGCTGCTGCCAGTTCTCTGGCCCTGAAGCCTGGACTCTGGCCGTGGGAGTGTCTGGATGGTCGTGGCAGTACTGGAGGTCAGCCCAGCCTCTGGCCCCACAGCAGGTGGCATCCACCCGGTTCCTTTTGAGATCCCAGGGGAGTGGTCCATCTAGGCCTCTAGCTCTCCCTTTGGGTGGGGCCGGGGGGTGACCCCTTCCTGTCCACAGGCTTGGGCCAGGAGGTCAGCTGCTCAGTATCCTCCTCGAGCATTGAGTAGACCTGTGTGTTTGTGCGAACCTGTGTGCACATGCAGTTGTGCACGTGCAAATGTGTGAGAGTGCATGTGTACACAGGTGTGTGAACGTGTGCCAGTGCATGCAAACATGCAGGTGTGTGCAGTGTGTGAGCATGTATGTGTGTCCACATGTGTGCAAGTGTGCGTGAGAGGCTGCCCTGGGTCCCAACAGCTGGCCCACCTCTACCGGTCACAGCAGCTGTTTTTGTTCACCAGACTCTTCTGTCCTAGATGGTCTCCTCTCCCTTTCCGTCTGGAAAACAGATGAGACAGACCCACCCCGCAGGAGCTGGATGTCTGTCGCTCACTGGCAGGGCCTTCGAGTCCTTCCTGGGACCCTTGGCACTCTCTGCCAGTGTCCTGCGCATGTGGACACTGGCCCGGGCAGACGGGCACCGCGAGATTGCGGCCCTGCCGGGTGCCGAGGTCCTGGAACTCAGAGTCCTTGCGCCCGTCTGTACAGGGTTGGGGCGGCCTTCAGCAGGTCATTCCTTTTGTCTATGCAAGTTCCTGCTGCCCCCCTCCTCCCATGTTGCTTCACGATGCATTTTCCCGGTGTCTCTTTTCTTGTTTACTCGCCAGGATAGATATGATTGTGGGCCCCCCACCCCCTTCAACTCCCCGGCACAAGAAGTACCCCAGCAAAGGACCCACGGCCCCTCCGAGAGAGTCACCCCAGTACTCACCTAGGTCAGGACACGCCCCCCCTGTCTGTGTGGAATGCCAGTCCCCTTCGCTCCAGCCACATGACGGCAGCACCCTCTCTGCTCGACAGGACGTGGGGCTGTTTCTGTCCTTGACAAAGTGACGTCCTCTGAAGCCCCGGGAGGCTGGGCCTGGGGCCCTTGAGCTGCTCCTCTTGGCGGGTTCCTGGGGAGGCTGTGTGATACCTGTGTGACTGCTGTGGGGGTGCTCCCTGGGCACAAGTAGATGGCAGCCCCCCAGGGACCAGATGCGTTCAGACGTGAGGGTCTGCCTTGCAGGGGCTCTGCTTGAGCACCAATGCAGGCTCCTAGCACCACTGCCGGTGGGTCACCCTGGGCTGCTTATGGACCAAGCAGGTCCTCTGGCCTATAGACCCTGATGAAGAGTGACTAGGAAAGGCTCCAACCTGAGTGGGGCACCCAGGGGTTCCCCAGAGCCCTGGAATTTGTGTCTAGTTGTCACCACAGTCAGGGTTCCTGCAGGAGGTGGTCCTGGCCAAAGGGGAGTGGGGTATGAGGGCAGTTAGGTGTTAGGCAGCAGAACCAGGGTCACTGGTAGTGAATTCAGACATCGGAGCCTTCCTGTTCCCCTGGATGGTGAAATGATGGTTGTGACGCCCCCAGCAGGTCTGCGAGAGCAGCACCCAGGGCAGGGATGTGGGCTGAGGGCAGAGGCACCCTGGCTGTGCTGGCAGAGGGGACCAGGGGTGTCCTGAAGGCCAGCAGGGATGCTGACCACTGGGCCAATGGAGCGAGTTGGGTGTCTGACTCCTATGTGCTGGGGTTTCTGTGCGTGAGGCTGGGGATCAGTGTACTTGGCACCTCAGCCTGGCAGCTCTCCCATAAGAAAGGAGTTTCCGGGGGAGCAGGCCTGACCCAGGGCAGCCCAGACAGTGTTTTTCGCATACCCTGTCCTTCCTGTGCCCCACAAGGAGGACAGCCCCCAGGAAGCTGTGCCCCGAGACAGCAGCCTGCCCTTCTGGCATCGCTGTAGGGCCCAGGGGCTGAGGAGGCCCTGCCAGCCCTCAGAGCCCCCAGGCCTCCCGGACCACTGCAGCCAGAGGACACGCAGACTCCCACAGAGAAGGGGCTGAAGGGCCAACTGGGCACGAGGGATTAAGCCCAGCTCCTCACCTGAGGCCCAGGGGAGGGGGTAGTGCAGAGTCAGGGAGCACCCACCAGCAGCAGCTCCAGGCCGACCCTGGGCTGAGGCTCCCAGGGCAGCAGCCAGGTGGACAGCCCGTCATGTGGCAGGGGTGAAGGCACTGAGCGCCCGTGCCTGGACTGTGTGGACACTTGAACACCAGACAGCCCTCCTCCCGCTCTGTCCCCACGGCGTCTGCTTGGAGTCTGAGGGCCCTTCGTCCCCCCCGCCCCAGCCCCCCCGCATGATCAAGCATGATGCCCACTGGAGCATGAGGAGGCTGCCCCATGGCTGATGCAAGCCTGACCCCTCCTGCTTCCTGCGACAGACAGGACAGATCCCTGAGTCCCAACAGGCAATCAGGGCAGCTGTGGATGAGGAAGGCAGCCAGGGAAGGGGCAGTGGCTTCAAGTGGCACTGCTAGGGGGGCTGGCAGCCCTCCCCACTCTGGAGCCTGGAAAGAGGCTCCGCCCATGAGGCTCGCGTGGCCTGTGCCCAGGTCACTGTCCTGCCAGCCGCACCCTGGCCCCAGTGTGTTTGCCAAGTGTCCATGTGGCTGCACCCCTCCAGCTCAGGCGCCCACGCTGCTGCTCTCAAGACCCCTTCTGAGCTCCTCTGGGGCCGTTCCTGCTCACACGGTGGTCAAGCAGAAGCCCCTCCAGGAAGGAGGCCTCCCTCCCGTCTTGTTGGCTTTCCTGACTGCTGCCCTTGTTTGAGGCCGGCTCAGCTGTGTTCCGCATCCCCCACTCGTGTGCACACAAGGGCACACTCACGTTCACACACGTGCACGCACATACATGGAAGCACGCACACGCATGCACAGTAAGCACACACGTGTACACGCACGAGCGCACACGGACCCCTTCTGGTTGGCAGTGGCTCTGTCTGTCCCTTCTGGTTGTGCGTTGGCGGTTTTCAGTGTTGGTCTGCGTCCCCTCCCGCGTCTGGCGCATGGAGCGTATCCCTCACGCCCCCCTGCCCCCTACCCACGCTTCTGTGGTTCCCACTGCAGACCTTTAGCCCCGCCCCGTCCAGACCCCCGGGTGGGCGGGGCCTCAGTGGCACGTTATCCAGGAGCAGAGCCGGAGTGGGGGCTGGGCTCGGGGTGGGGAAGATGCGGGGAGCTGGGAGTGCATGGCCCTGACTTCCTTCTCTGCTCCTCGCTGATGTGCCAACCCCGCTGGGATGGGACGGTCAAGGGACAGGCCCCGAGGGTGGCAGAGAGCAGGACGGGGACCTGGCGCCTGGCGTCCGTCTGTCCTGGTTCCTCGCTGCCCTCAGTCGGCTCTGGCTCAGTTGGAGCCTGAAACGGGGTTGTGGCTTGGCCCAGGAGGAGACGCCTTGGGCCCCTGGCACTCTCACCCGACCTCACGCCCGGGGTGGGTCTCTTCCGGCAGAGTGGACCAGATCGTGGGTCGTGGCCCAGCGATGGCGGACAAAGACCGAGGCAAGGGCCCGGCGGAGGCGGAGCTGCCCGAGGACCCCAGCATGATGGGGAGGCTGGGGAAGGTGGAGAAGCAGGTGGGAGAGGCTGGGGGTCCGTGGTGTCCGCGCGGCTACTGCGGGAGGGTGCGCCAGCTTTGTGGGGAGCTGAGGGCTGTGGTGTCTGGACCCCGGGTACCCCGTGAGCACTCCCAGGCCTGGGGCACTTCCCTTCTGCTGGCCAGCGCCTACAGACTCCAGGCCAAGCACTGGCTTGCTCGCTCTCTTCTCGCCTGGGGGGCACTGCTGCAGGGCCTGCGTGGTCATTCTCCACCCCACTTGGCTGACCTTGTCTGACTTTCCTCTACTCTCTTGGGAGCAAGTCCTCTGGAACCACACACAAGACCCTCTGCTGAGAGTCTGATTCTGGGAGCCCAGGAGAGGAACGGATGGTTCCTTCCGTCTTGAGTTTGCTCTATGGGTGAACCCACAGAGTGGCCCATACAAGTAAGAGTGTCCATGCTCTGAAGCCCTGAGGCCACATACCCTGATGGGGGTGGTCAGAGGCTGAGCTGCTGGGGGTGGGGGTGTGTGTGTGTGTGTGTCCTGACTTCTATTGCCTCTGCAATTCTGTAGGTGACATTCTGGGTCCCCCCACCTCTGGGGAGTGTCTAGGGTCCCCACACGTCCAGGGAGCATTGCTGCCCTCCCCAACTCCAAGGAGCATCCCGACCCCCCCCGCCCCCATGAGAAGTATCCAGCCCTTCCCACCTCCAGGGACCATCCTTCCCACCCCTGCCCCCCTCCCCAGCATGGGAAGCCTCCAGCGTGGTCCACTAGCCCCTCCCGCAGGTCCTGTCCATGGAGAAGAAGCTGGATTTCCTGGTGAACATCTACATGCAGCGCATGGGTGTCCCCCCGACGGAAACTGAGGCCTACTTTGGGGCCAAGGAGCCAGAGCCAGCGCCACCGTACCACAGCCCAGAGGACAGCCGGGACCACGGTGGCCGGAGTGGCTGCATCATCAAGCTTGTCCGCTCCACCAGCTCCATGGGCCAGAAGAACTTCGCGGCGCCCCCACCTGCGCCCCCTGCCCAGTGCCCACCCTCCACCTCATGGCAGCAGCAGTGCCACCCCCGCCCAGGCCATGGCACCTCACCCGTGGGGGACCACAGCTCGCTTGTGCGCATCCCGCCGCCACCCGCCCACGAGCGGTCCCTATCTGCTTACAGCGGGGGCCACCGGGCCAGCACAGAGTTCCTGAGGCCGGAGGATGCCCCGGCCTGCAGGCCCCACGAGGGAGCGCTGAGGGACAGTGACACATCCATCTCCATTCCATCCGTGGACCATGAGGAGCTGGAGCGCTCTTTCAGTGGCTTCAGCATCTCCCAGTCCAAGGAGAACCTGGATGCCCTCAACAGCTGCTACGCGGCGGTCGCTCCGTGTGCCAAAGTCAGGCCCTACATCGCAGAGGGCGAGTCGGACACGGACTCGGACCTCTGCACCCCGTGCGGGCCCCCACCACGCTCCGCGACGGGCGAGGGCCCTTTCGGTGATATGGGCTGGGCCGGGCCCCGGAAGTGAGGCCACCCGCTAGCCTCCCCCTGACTCCTGGCCTCCTGGTCTTGAGGCAGATGCTGTGGGGCCCTTTTCTTAGAGCAAGGCAGGGGTGCCTGTGCAGGGCAGCAGGCAGGCGTGGCCCTCAGTCTCTCACACTGAAGGCTGGCAGAAATTCTTTTCCAGCAAGGGGCAGCCCGGCTGGCCGTGCCCACTCGGCAGACTCTGCAGACCATTGGCCTGGGCATGACAGAGGCCGGGGTCAAGGCTGAGGACAGGCACCCCGTGGCCAGGTGGAGGCTTGGTTGGGGGCAGGGTGGCAGCGAGGGGCAGATCTGCCTCTTGAGGATCAGCAGCTTTGAGGCCCAGGGCGTGTGGCTTGTCTCTGCCCCCATTCCTGTCCTGCCCCATCATCCTGGGTACTACCCGCAGCTGCTGGTCAGTGTCACCACCTTCCCCCTGGTTCCGAGCATCCTGTGACAGGAGCCAGCCCCACGTTCAGGACTCTGGTCTGAAGGGGGCGTGGGGGCGAGGCTTTGGACCCCCTCCAGAACAGAATGGCCTCTGACCTCCTGAAATTGATTCCTGTGGGGAGGGACCAGCTCCATAGGCTCCTGGAAGAGATCCTTGGGGGCTCCTTCCAGACTTGGAAGCTGGAGGGGTGTCCCCTGTGTCTTCTTCCCTCTCCCTTGGCTGGGCGCTGGTCACCACGCTGTGGCCAGCACTGTGACATGGACCTGCCTGTGGGAATGTGTGCTGAGTGGCTAGGGGGCCCCCTGGCTGGGTTCGTGCTCTGGGGTCCTGACCGGGCCAGTTGTGGTGAGTTGATTTACTCGCTGTCCTCCAGGGACCCTGCTTCACCTGTCCCGCATCAGCCCCCCAAAAGGACCCCTGCTGGACGATGCTGCAGCTGATGGGAAAACCCTTCAGTAGAGTCCTGCCCCGCACTGTCCAGAGATGAAGGAGCTGCCTTGTAGGTGGTCTCCCCTGTCCCTCCTAGGCTGACCATCCCCTGCCCTCTCCTCACTGACCAGCCCTTGACTGTGACCGCTGGGTGTCTTGGGATCAGAGATGCCTGTTCCCACCCTGGGCCCTGGGAAACAGTGGTGCCCATCCTTCTCGTCTTGGGCCTGAGGAGCAGTCGCTTTGAGCCAGGAGTCCAACCCCAGGAGGCGGAGTGGACCCCATCCTGGGCCCCCAGCTGTCAGTGTGCAGGGGCATCTGGCGTTTGGGGTGACAGGACAGCAAGCCTGGGCCCCTAGTGTCCTCTGAGGCAGTGACCTTCCTGTGCGTCAGGGCTGGGTCCACGAAGCCTACCACGTAGCGACTTCCCCTGAAATACCAGGTCCAGGGAGAGCCTGAGCTGTCTCCTCAGGACGCTTCCATCCATCCTGGTCAGTGAGAGACTCTGCTTACTCTCTGGGAAGGACTTTGAAAGCAGCGTCCGAGGGTCGAATGCCCCTGGCTGTTGGGGTCCTGGCCCTCTGAGATCCCTGGGGAGCAGTGTCTACTATAGCCTCTGTGCATTCCCCCCCTTCACCAGGACCCCCAGGTCCCCACCATGTGTACCTGTCTGCTAGCCCAGTGCAGGAGGACCCGAGCTCGGAGTCAGAACCGTGGTCTGTGTTGAGGGCCAAGGCACAAGGATGCCCCCCGCCCCCATTCTCCAGGGAGGGGTTGGCTATGGAATCTTCCATGTGGCCTGGGGCGGGGGGGTGCCTCTTCGGCTCCCTCCACCCAGCGTGTCTGCTCTGTACCCTCTTGGTGTTCTCCCTTTCAGACCTTCAGTGGTGAGCAAAGCTCCTCCTTAGTGTTGGCTGTGTGAAGAGGCCCTGGCAAGTGGCAGCTCCTCTGGGTGAGGGCAGAGCCCTCCTTTGCCCCCCATCTTGGGAGAGAGAGGCCCCAGATGGAGGCCCCCAACAAGGCACGAGTAGGCCAGCCCCTGGACCAAGTGTATCCACAGCTGCTCCAGCCCCAGTTGTTGCTGTCGGCTCTGGGAGGGTTCGATTCAGGTTGCCAGCAGCAGGGACCCACCCCTGTCAGATCTTGGCCTGCATGGGCCCCTGGCCTGCTAGGAGAGGCCTTTGGCCCCTGGAGAGAGGTGCGTGTCCTGTCACTTGCATGCCCTGTGTTGTGGGTCCCTGGTGACAAGAGGGGCTGGCTTGGTCCGCAGAGCTGCTGAGCCAGATGCTGGCACCAAGGCCACTGCTGGGAGGGCCTCCAAGGTTGCAGAAGGAGGGGTTGAGGCCCAACTCTCCACGTGCTGTGCTCAGCAAGGAGTCTGTGATGCCTCCTCCATGAAATCCTGCCCCCTCCCCTGGTCTCTGCTTGGGGGACTGTTTCGCGGTGAGGTTTTAGGAGATGATGGGGTAGAGGCTCTTCTTAGGGGTCCGAGCAACATGTGTTCCTTTGTGTCCATCTGCTGCCCCAGGGCCCCCACCTTCAGGAGCTATGGCAGGAGAGTGCTTGGCACTCTGGGGACGTCGGTGCACTTCCTGGGTGACCCGTGGCTGCGGGCCCACCCTGCCCCACCGCACATGTGGTAGGCGCTTCCCAAGAGAAGCATCTCACTTACCCGATCACGTGGCTCCCCCAGCCCTGCACATGCCTGTGCTCACACTCCTCCCTGCAGACATACAGCACATACACACTCATGCATACACACCCACAGGTACACGCACAGCACCTGCACACAGAGTCACATGCATTCTGACCCAGACACACCAGAGTGCACACACTTACCCATGTAATGCACAGTCATACACACCATGTACACACACCCATGCTCACATACTCACACATCCATGTGCACACACGCTTACCCACGCGTGCACAGACACCTTGTCTGCTTCAATCCTTAGGAATCAGCAAGTTTGGGAGTTGCAGACAGTCCTGGGACATTGACCCTGGGTGGGGTTCCCGCTCTTCTGGCCTCTGGGCAGCACCTCAGGGGGATCCCCAGAGCCCAGGCAGGTTCCCACCTACCCTCTTCCTCCTCCTCAGCTGCTCTGGAGGCTGTCCAGATGCCAAGATGGCCTAGGCTGGGCCAGGGAGGTCTTGGTGTCTGTGGGCATCCAGCTGCAATGTGGGGGCTCTGGTGGCTCCCTCCACCCTCCTGAGCCATGTGGCCCAGCCTCAGGACCCTCTCCGTTTTCTGCCCTACACCCCCCTGTTCTGTGACAGCATGAGCCGTGGCCACCGTGGAGGATGAAGGAACCCAGCCAGGGGGCAGGGGACTCCCTCCGGTGCCTCCCTGCCGGGCCCCTCCCTCTGGGAGACCATGGCACCCCCGTGGGAGCACCACCCTCCTTTGGGGGGATTTGCCAGGGAGTCCGCCCCATGAGGAGAGCCAGTCACTGCCCTCTAATTAACATTGTCAGCCGGAGCGGTCACCAGACAGCAGCTCTGCACAGCTTTCACACTTGGTTTTAACTTCTCCCTTCCCTAGGCTGGGGCACCCTGGTGGTCATGGGCCTAAGATGTCAACACGGGACGGGGGGAGGTGTCCTCTTCTCTGCTATGCCGTGTACCTGCCGTTTGTGGACAGAACGTGGCCCTGGGACATTGCTGATGCTTCTGAAGCCCCAGAGGGTGGGGGCTGCAGACAGGCCTTCGTAAGAGTGCTGGTGTTAATTCCCATGCTCCCCCGACGTCAAGACCACACCAGGCGCTGGTGGAGGCATCGGCCTGGATTTCCTGCTGCAGTCAACATTGGTTCCGCGCCCAAATCTCCAGAATACATGGCTGTGAAGAGGGCTGGTCCAGCAGGGAGGCCCCACCTGGAGGGTTCAGGGCACCCTGCCCGCAGTGGGGTGGGGAGTTCTGAGCCACAGGATGCCTCCATGACCCCCAGTACACACGGCTCCAAATTATACACTCTTCCTCACGTGCACTGCCCTGCATGGTCTTCAGCTGCCCTGGGCAGTGATGTGGACAGTCTTGCCCTCTGTGACCCCTGAGCAGAACTCCAGGCTGCCTGCTTGTGTGGATGGATGTTCGGCCCCACCGGGCCGGGCTACTTGCTTTTAGTGCCCAGGGGAGCCCCAGGCTCCCTGAGTCGGATGCCCAGTGGACCTGTGCACTTATCCCAGGCCAGCTGCTTCCTGTGTCCTGCCCCCAGGGCGGTTCCACTTGAGCCTTTTCCAAGTACTAAGTGGGAGAGATGATCGGGGAGCTTCCTGGAGGAGGTGATCTGCTCGGATCAGGGGCTTACGCCTACCTTCTGTCCAAGGGGCCTAGAAAGCCGGCTGCCCAGGGCAGAACACTGTAGCCCCTGAAGCTGCACAAGTGGGGCACACAGCTTGCTGGCTTCTGTTGACTTGTGAGGATGGGGGCAGATGTGGAGGGAATTCTGGAGGGAGGAGTATGCCCCTTCCTCCTAGGAAGGAGGTAGGGAGCTTGAAAAAGATGCTTGTGGGAGGAGAGACCCCTCTGTCTTGAGGAGGAGTTGGGTGGCTCTTGTCTTGGATACTTGCATGGGTCCCCTTGCCTGATGGAGGTGTGGCTGGATGGCCCTGTCTGGAGAGCCACTCAGTATAGGCAGATCAGGCACCGGGAGAGGTGGGGACCTTCCTGGGGGACAGCCCTTGGTCCTGGGGTTTCTGGGCAGGTGTGTGGACTTTGCTGAATGCTGCACGTCCAGCTCTGACTGAGTTTCATAAAGTTGTTGCCTTAATGCACGTTGACAAAAATTCACCGTGGTCACCCCCTGCCCCCTTGGCCTCTGCCAGGCACCAACCTGCGACCCCGCCACCTCCTCCATCCAGGGTCTGCGGGCCCAGGTCTGCAGCAAGTACAGGGGGTAGGGGACCTCATGGCATGGTTCCTGTGGGGCTCTGCCTACCCGCCCACCTGCGGACCCCACCTCCATCCCACGCCGTCCGAAGGCGGCCCTGGCCCCAGCCCCAGCCCCGTCTGCGCTGTTGTCTTGGCTGTCTTTGCACTTTTGTTCATGTTCATGCTCCAAAGAATATGTCATGATGCCTTCAGTGCTGATGAGCACCGTCGCGCCCGCGCCCCTGCAGCAC